CATGAGCCACCAATGCCCAGCTCCAACCCTTGTGTTTTAACTGTGTGTGTGTGTGTATGTGTGCGTGCGCACACACACGCACACACATGTACACGCAGGGATCTCCACAAACATAAGACAAACATGCTACTGCTGAGCTACATCTTCAGGCCCTTAATTTCATTTTTATTCCTGTACTGTTCGATAAGGAATTTCTTGGGGCTGGGAAGGTGGCTCAGTGGTAGAGCGCTTGCCTTGCATGCATGAGGCCCTGGGTTCGATTCCTCAGCACCACATAAGCAAAAAGAAAAAAAAAAGCCAGAAGTGGTGCTGTGGCTCAAGTGGTAGAGTGCTAGGCTTGAGCTGAAGAGCTGAGTGACAGTGCCCAGGCCCAGCGTTCAAGCCCCATGACTGATGAAAGAAAGAGAAAGAGAAGGAAGGAAGGGAAAAAGAAAGTAAGAAAGAGAGAGAAAAAAAGAGAAAGAAAGAAAGAGAGAGAGAGAAACAGAGAGAAAAGAAAAGCCAAGCCAGACTGGGCAGGGAAGTCCATGATGAGACTCTAACCTCCAGTTAACCACCAGAAAACTGGAAATGACACTGTGGCTTAAGTGGTAGAGCACGAACTTTGAACAAAAAAGCTCAGGACACCATCTAGGCCCTGAGTTCCAGACCAGTACCAGTGTATACATACACATGCACACACAGAAACTGAGAAATAAAAACCCACAAACAGGAAAACTACAACTATATAACTGAAGCAGTGGCATATGCATGGTAGCTGCATTTTTCTTTCTCCATTTCTATTAACACATTTTTTTTTAAAAAACACAATTTTCATGGTCCCTCACATAAGGTCAATTACAGTCAGTCTCTGCTTCAGTACTGTTAACTGATTTCCTAGAGACAGCACAACCAAGGGATAAGAGGCACCAGCTAGGAGGCAAGAGGCTATATTCAAATCCTCATTTTGCCAATTACCAGCTATAGAGTGAGAGAGAGTGAGAGAGAGAGAGAGAGAGAGAGAGAGAGAGTGTGTGTGTGTGTGTGTGTGTGTGTATAGCAGTACTGGGGCTTGAACTCTTCCTTAGCTTTTTCAATGCTGGCACTCTTACCATGTAAAGCATAGCTCCACTTCTGGCTTTTGGCTGGTTAGAGATAAGTCTCTCAAATGTGTCTGCCTAGGCTGGCTTCAAATTGCAATCCTTAGATCTCAGCCTCTTGAATAGCTAAGATTACAGGTGTGAGCCACCAGAGCCCAACTACTAGCAGTGTGATCTTGAGCAAATGTAAATGTGCTGATGCTGAATTTCTTTGCCAATATGATGAGGTCAATCACTCCACACCTCAAAGGAGTGCTATCAGAAACTACATGTGAAATATTTAACACAGGGCCTCCACTACAGGTTACTAACAATCACTGAACTGCCATTTAATTTATGGGTGCCAGATACTCTGGTTGTTTTATCAGGCAAGAAAAAAAAAAAAAGACAAATGATACAATTTTGTGTCTGTATGTGTCAGTACTAGGGCTTGAACTCAGGGTTGGATGCTGTCCTTAGTTTTTTCAGTCAAGGCTGGTGCTCTACAACTTAGGCCACAAATCCATTGCCAACCTTTTTATGATTAATAGAAGATAAATGTTTCACAGAATTTCCTGTGCAGGCTGGCTTCAAACAGTCTCCTCAGATCTCAGCCTCCTGAGCAGCTAGGATTACAGACAGATGCCACCGACTTGGTTCTTTTGGTTCAATATGGCTTTAAAAAAAAAAACAAAAAACCTAAAGATTCATTTTAAGAAACAGTGCATGAAATTCTTCCTGAAGCCAAATATTGTTCAATTTTCAATACAATCTCTCCTCTTTTGACTATTTTTGCCCAATTCCAATCTAGTATGTTTGGCTCTTAGTAGCATCATGGGTAAATGTTTTGTTGAAAATCATCTAGCAAGTCCCACACTAGTCAACAACAGGAATAGTCAAATTTTGTGGATTTGATGTTTTTCCAATTCTTTTTTCAGAAAATAATAATAATAAAAACCTGTTTATAGGAAGTGGAAGTGTTGCCCAAGTTGTACAGTGTAAGCCTTGAGTGAAAAATGTCCAGTGAGAGTACAAGGTCCTGAGTTCAAGCCCTCGTACTGGCACTAAAAAACAAGTAAAATGGTTATCTTCAATAGCAGGACGTGGTGATTCATACCTGTAGTCCCAGCTACTGGATTACTAGAGCCCCAAAAATTAGGACCAGCCTAGATAATATTCTAAGACTCCATTTCAAAGATAAAAACTGGTTTGAGGGGGGAGGCTGGAAAGGGATGGGAAGGGGAAACAAAGGAGGAGGCTACAATGCTTGATAAGAAATGTACTCATTATCTTGCCCATGTAATTGTAAGCCCTCTGTACAGTATTTTCACAATTTAAAAAAAAAACTGGTTTGAATTCCTGGGGGGGGGGGAACACAAGTAGTAGATCTATACCATCAACTACTAAATCCAAAATTCTCTGCAAGAATTTAGGTTAACATCTAAGACTGGATTAGGGCAGGGAGCTTCAATGACAATTTTTAAAAAGGAACTTTTAAAAACAGAGCCTAGGGGCTGGGAAGGTGGCTCAGTGGTAGAGCGCTTGCCTTGCATGCCTGAGGCCCTGGGTTCGATTCCTCAGCACCACATAAGCAAAAACAAAAAAAGCCGGAAGTGGCACTGTGGCTCAAGTGGTAGAGTGCTAGCCTTGAGCTGAAGAGCTGAGGGACAGTGCCCAGGCCCA